GCTAGAAGGATTAAGTTGATTGAAAAAAAAATCCAACGAAATCATTGGGAAATGAACCTGCGATCTTCCAGCGTGTAGCGTAGTGTCTCAACCAACTACGCTACAGCGTGCCCCAGAAAATATGTGTCCCTTTTGAATTAACATTAAAAACTCTGAATTTCCTTACACAGTGTGTACCTCGTAAATGTGTTTTATATTTTTCTCACAGCAAAGAGTTATATTTTCCCTAAATAACGCTAACCTGTTCGCCTTCGTTATCGAGACGCGGAGTGTTTTATTTTAAGTTGGGACTCTATATTCAGATAGTAAACAAAACAGAGAAACTCTGTGGCCTGTAGTCCACAAGTGAACTATACCGACCGAACGACCGCTGCTTGTCAGCGTAGTTAGTACCAAACTTTAGCGGATATAGGATGTCGCGTGGTCAGCGCAACGGATCTCCACTGCCATTAATTTCTGTTTTCTAGACCGGAGCAGCTGTTTCCTTGAAATAACTCCTCAATTATCCTGACAAGGCTGAGTGGACCCTGTTTCAGACCCACTACTTCTCAGAAAAACTGGTAGCACCGGGAATCGAAGACGGGACCTCTGGATCTGTAGCCAAGAACTCCTGACTACTAGACCACAGATGCAGTCCTATATTCAGATATGTATTGGATTAATTCCGGGTTTCAAACCCACCAAAGATATTTTTCCAAATTATATAATTAACATTAATTCAGGAAATCAAAATTCCGAGGCCCCTGTCTCATGCCACTGCTCCTGACCTTCCTAGAGCCTTTACTTTCACTCTAGTCATACCAGAAGGACGGGCGGGGGGCGAAGCCTGGGGAAGTTCTAACAGAACTATGTTGCTTCCCCCCCCCGGCCCCAATGAAGTGTCTCTCACTTCTCCTACGACTTTTCACTTTCACTTTCTCTTCCACCAAACTTTCTGACTCCCTCTCGCTTCCAGGCTTCAAAACACTATCAGTCTTGTCCAGTTACAAATAATTAATGGTTAATAATTCACCATGACATGAAAAATGTTTAAAACGATATGTTAAGGGTTGCAACTAATATTCATTTATTCTGGGTTAAATAAACAGCGTCCTACCATGGAGTAGCTCGGCTTGCATTGGGATAATTTAATAAAGAATGCCCGGATGAAAGGTATGCAAAATAAAATCATTATATCTCAGAAAGAATTTATTATACACATTTATGGGTTACACCACTACAAAGGGAAACTATCAACGTTGTTTCCCAGTATAAAATTTTCTCAGTAATTTTCAACGTGTGCTCCTTTGATGGCACGACAAATGTCTAGACAATGTTCTTCACATAACCCCACAAGAAAAATCCACTGGGGTTAAATCTGGCGACCTAGGAGGCCAAGCGATTGGCCCACCTCTGCTAATTCATATCCTAGCCATCCTGGACAGAGGTCCAGGTGATTCCTAACATGGTGGCAGAAATGTGGCGGCGCATGCGCGTAAGCTTGGTAAGAAAAGAAAACTTTCAAACTTTTCCTTTCCGCTAACATAAACCGGTTACGTGTATGACAATTAGTTTCCGAGATAT